TCTGGTCCTTGCTTGCAAATGCCTCTGGAGCGATGCCGCCAGAAGACGTCCCCTGAGGGTCTGGAGAGAGCAGCAGAGGATAATGTCTTCCAGTTGGTGGCTACAGTGCGCTCCCAGGAGGAGCCGGTCCAGCCGCTCCTGCGGGCTGCTCTGCGCCCATCCCGGGGCAGCCAGCAGGGTATCCGCCACGACCACCGCGCGACCACCGCGCATGGGCTCGGAAGATCCAGCAGGAGGGCCGCTACAGGGTAGTCTCTAGCCGCCGATCCTCGGGCATTCCCTCGGATGGCCTGGAGTCGGTGACGCAGGCTTCCAGCTGTTGGATCTGGTCCACGGAGACCCAGAGGCCGCTGCTGCCGCCGCCTCCTGCAAAGTACCTGACCCAGATGCGATCCTTTGCAATTCTGTCGAGTTGATCCGTGGGCGATTGACTATATCTGAGGATGGGCAAGTGTCGGGCACCGGGAGGAACAGAAGGATGACTGTGTGTATGACATGTACTACTTGGAGACGGCCACTCCAGGATGGATTGAGAATATCCTCTCCATGCAGCCCTACAGCCAGGAGTGGGAGCTGATGTGCAGGTGAATGATGACCAACAAATGCAGGACATTCATGAAGATGAAGATGATGGGAATAGTGAGAATAATTGGCGCCATGAGTACCCTGAGGAGGCGAGCAGTGACGGAGATGAAGATTCCAGAGGCTCTGACGAATACAACAGCCTCAGTGAAGAGGAAAGAGGCAACAGCAGACCACAGATGTGGAGCAAATACCCTTTGGGTGTGCAGGAGTTTGGCTATGACAGCCCTCATGACCTGGCCTCAGACTGACGATCCTGTGACAACCCTGAGGGTCTATCACAGGCCCTGAGGGCTCTGACTTCAGCATCAACCACCCTGGTAATGGGTTTCCCGGCGTAACACATGGCAGGAAAAAGCATGTCCAACAGCACCATCACACCAGTGAAAACTTGTGCTGAAGGAGTGTCTCTTTTCCACTAATAGTAGGGGCCCTTTGCCTCATTCAAGTGACCCTACACTGCAGTGGTTCTCAACCTTCCTAATGCGGCGACCCTTTAATACAGTTCCTCATGTCGTGGTGACCCCCAATTTCATTGTTACAAATTGAACATAATTAAAGCATAGTGATTAATAACAAAAACAATATGTAATTATATATGTGTTTTCCGATGGTCTTAGGCGACCCCTGTGAAAGGGTCGTTCAACCCCCAAAGGGGTTGCAACCCACAGGTTGAGAACCGCTGCCCTACAGTCTGGGGGACCAAAAAAAAAAAAGCCATAAAATGAAGCTTCCTGGCCTAGGCATTTTCCTGCTCTTCTCCTATGCTGAAGCCAGTAAGTGGAAGAGAGGCTGTTTTATCAGAACTAAGGTTCAACTTCCCCATTCCACCAGGCCTCCCCCTCATATAGAATCTAACGAACCAAATAAACTGATTATCAAAAATAGACCCAGAGTCCTAGAAGCATGAACAGACTGTTGAACCCCAGAGGGAAGGCAGGGGAGGGTGGGTGGGGAGACATCAACCAATGAACTTGTATGCATATTTGCATAACCCATGGACACAGACAATGGAGTGGTGAGGACAGGAGTGAGCTAGAAGAGGTTAATGGGGGTAAATGGAGGGCCTATGTAATACTTTCAACAATAAAGATTTTTTTTAAAATAAAAAAATAAAATGTAAGTTAAGCTCAGCTGGCATGGCTCAGTGGTTGAGCATCAACCTATGAACCAGGAGGTCATGGTTCAATTCCCTGTCAGGGCACATGCCCAGGTTGTGGGCTCGATCCCTAGTGTGGGCGTGCAGGAGGCAGTCAATCAATGATTCTCTCTCATCATTGTTTCTCTCTCTCTTTCCCTTTCCCTTCCATTCTGAAATCAATTAAAAAATATTTAAAAAATCAATGAGACTTTCATGACAAAATTGTAATTATAAAAGAATTTAAAGTAAAATATGTTTGAGGAAAAATTACCTGAACTTCTTTTTTAACAGCAGAAAGTGACCAAATTTATTATGTATGTACATATGGGCATCCCTAAGAATATGAGATCCCAAGACTTATCAAGCAGTAAGGCTTACAAGTCATCTTGAACGAAGGAGAAAGGGGGTAGGTTGTGGCTTGAGACTTCAGAGGGCAGGAAAGCAATTTACCAAAATAAAATTACCTGAACTTGAATGCACATGATACAATAATTAAAGAAGAGATTTGCAGTTTATCTAGATATTCATAATTATAAGGGGACATTTTCATATATCCCCTCAGGAAATTAAGAACAATTATTTGGTGACATACAACAGCTTAGAAAATGGTTAATAAAATATTCCTATGAAACTACAAAAGTGCTATTTTGACAAAAAAATGCACATACTTAAATTTTTTTAAAAAAAATTATTGATTTCAGAGAGGAAGGGAGAGGGAGAGGGAGAGATAAACATCAATGATGAGAATCACTGATGGGCTGCCTCCTGCACACCCCCTACTGGGGGTTGAGCCCACAACCCAGGCATGTGTCTTCCTGGTTCATAGGCTGACGCTCAACCACTGAGCCACATTGGCCAGGCACAATGCACAAACTTTTAATCACATACAATCAAACATAACTGGAAACATACTGAGGGATTCACTCAGCTTCAAGTAACAGGAAACACCCAGTCTTCCTGACAGGAGGAAGAGGCAGATTCTCACATGGAAGGACCAGGTTAAGGCAGCCACTGCACATGCAGCAGAGAAACAAACTCCCAGGTCCTTTTTGGCTGAAACATTGTAGATGTCATGGTCAATAAAGAACACATCCTAGCACTATTAACAGCATATTTCCTATACAAATTACATCTTATACGGATGTAATCTAGAGAAGAGGGGATTCAGACATCAGTTTCCAGATGGACACATGATGGCTTACAGAAAAATCCAAAGTGATGGATCTTTGATGTGAATCTTGAGAAAACATCAGTGGAAACCTACACCTCTAAGAAAGTGTAAATCAAATAACTGGTGGTGGTTATGAGGATAGTCTTAATTGGAAGGGCAAAGGATCATACTAAAAAATCTTATACAACTGTCTCTTCCCTGTGTGGTGGTTTCAAAATCTGATGTGTTACTCATTTCTCCTTTTCAATCTCATGCAAGTGGGGCTACTTGTGAATCCTAAGATGGAACCATAAAGGAGATGAATTCTAAAAAATCTAGGTCCTAACATTACTGACAGGGGAGTGAATATCTCCAACTCTAGATTTTTTTTTCCTTCTACAGGTCTCTCTTCTTCTTTTTATGTCTTTTCTAAAATCAAAGTCTATTCAACAAATAATCAGTCAGAATAAAGAGTAAGGACCCAAATGTGAAAATATTAATTTCCATGAAACTATATTCTTTCATGAACTTGCCATATATAAAAGTTATTCCAAGTGTTCAATATTTTACTCCTGTCACCCCAGAAAAAGAGCTTCTTCAGTAAAAAAAAAAAAAAAAAAGGTAGACTATATTAGTGGACTAAGGATACCCGGAACTGTACAAAGCCAATAGGAAAATCCCAACAAATACCAAACTGTCATTTTATAATAGCACCTTCACACAGGACAAATAAAACAGTATAAAAAATTTAATCTAATTGCACATTAGAAATACACTTCAGTTCACCCAGGGATCTAACAGGCTTCAAAATGGAAAGAAAATATTAATTCATTTAAGGAAAAAGCGTTATCTAGTAATTTTATGTACTATTGCTGAAAGAAAACTCCCAGTTATCTCACCTCAATATTTATTTCTTAAGTTATAAATCTATATTGCAATGATGCATTTTACAAAACAAGCTTGATAAACACTATGTATATACAAACTTAAGATGAATTCTTTCATGTTGAGTTTTCTGTAACATTTTACATGGATTAATTTCCATCAAGCTTTCTCATGTCACATGTAATTTTATCTCTCTTCCCTGAGATTTTTCACATGTAAGGATGTGTGCACATTGAAGCCCTTCTCACATTGTTTATGTTCAAAGGTATTATCCAGTGATTCCTTTCATGCTCTTGGAAGGACCTGGGATGACTTAAGTCTTCCCCACATTCAGATATAGTGTATCTGAAAATTTCCCACATTCCTTATATATCTATTATTTAAAATGTATTGATTTTTAGAGACTGGAAAGGAGAGGAATAGAAACATCAATGAGACAGAAACATCAACGTTGATTGGCTGCCTCCTGCGTGCTCCCCGCTGGGGATTGTGCTCACAACCTGTGTATGTGCCCTGACTAAGAATCAAACGGGCAACCTCGTTGCACAGATCATTGCTCAACCACTAAGCCATACCAGCTGGGTCCACATCTCCTTTTATACTAAATTATGATCATTACTCAAAATTATACCCTCTCCCTACAGGTCACTTCATACAATCAAGTTAATATCTGGATGGTTGCCTTCACAGATCCATTCCCTTTCCTTTTTGGTGTTTCCACTGGGGAAAAACATTGGGCTTGCATAGATACCATTTGGCTCATAGAAAAAAAATTTAGGATGGGCTAGTGCATGCTCACTTCTGTTCAATAGTTTGTGTGCAGCCGTGACCGGTTTGGCTCAGTGGATAGGGTTTTTCTGTGTGCGTCCATTCATGTTTTCTAAGATAATTAAGACAACTGAACTCTTCCATATGTTTTACATTCATAATGTTTCTCTAGTGTAACTTCTTTCGTGTGTTTTTAAGGAAGTGTGATCACTATAACCTTTACCACATTGCTTACATTCATAGTGTTTTTCTCATGTGTGAGTCCTTTCATGTCTTCAAAGATAATTAAGACAAGTGACCTCTTTTCCACATGTTTTACATTCATAGGGTTCTACTCCAATGTGACTTCTTTTGTGTTTTTAATGAAGTGTGGTTGTTATAACCTTTACCACATTGCTTACAGTCATAGTGTTTCTCTGCTATGTAAATCCACTCATGTGACTCTAAGGTAGTGTAATATCTGGCTTTACTATGTCATCTACATTCATAAGGTTTCTCTTCAGTGTGATTCCTTTTATGTTTTCGAAGATAATTGGGACTACCAAATGCTTTACTACATGTTTTACATTCATAGGGCTTTTCTCCCATGTGACTTCTTTCGTGTGTTTTGAAGGAAGTGTGATCGCTGTAACATTTACCACATTGCTTACATTCATAGAGTTTCTCTCCTGTGTGAACTCTTTCATGTCTTCGAAAATTATTAAGATAATTGAACTCTTTTCCACATGTTTTACATTCATAGGGTTTCTCTCCAGTGTGAGATCTTTCATGTATTTGCAAAGAACTGTAATATCTAAAGGCTGATCCACAGTCCTTACATTTATAGGGTTTCTCTTCTGTGTGAATTCTTTGGTGTGTTTTTAAGGCAGTGCGACCACTGTAAGCTTTACCACATCCCATACATTCATAGCATTTCTCTCCTGTGTGACTCATTTTGTGAGACTGTAAGGAACTGCAATATTTGAAGGCTTTGCCACATTGCTTACATTCATAGGGTTTCTCTCCTGTGTGCATCTTTTCATGTTTTCGAAGGTAACTGAGACAAGCGAATGCTTTCCTACATGTTTTACATTCATAGGGTTTCTCTCCAGAGTGACTTCTTTCATGTGTTTTGAAGGAACTGTGATCTCTGTAGGCTTTACCACATTGCTTACATTCATAGGGTTTCTCTCCAGAGTGACTTCTTTCATGTGTTTTGAAGGAACTGCGATCTCTGTAGGCTTTACCACATTGCTTACATTCATAGGGTTTCTCTCCAGAGTGACTTCTTTCATGTGTTTTGAAGGAACTGCGATCTCTGTAGGCTTTACCACATTGCTTACATTCATAGGGTTTCTCTCCAGAGTGACTTCTTTCGTGTGTTTTGAAGGAACTGTGATCTCTGTAAGCTTTACCACATTGCTTACATTCATAGGATTTCTCTCCAGTGTGACTCCTTCCAGGTATTTGATATAAACGGGGAGAAATGGATGCTTTCTCATTTTCCTTACGTTTATAAAGTTCATCTCCAGTGTGAATGGTCATGTGTGCTGGAAGGATTGAGAGATCACTAAATGCTACCCTGCATTCCTTATATTTAAAAAGTTTTTCCCCAGTATGAGTTTTTTCATCTACTTCAACATAGCTGGGACTGAAGGCTTCACCACATATATTATGTGCAAAAGGTTTCTCTCCATTGTGATTCCTTTCATGTTTTTTAATACACTGGAGATAACGTTTATATGGCTTCTCTCCATATTTCTGATAGTTACATGGCTTATGTTCAGTGTGACATCTGACGTTTCCATTATGAGACGAATGTTGTATGGAGGATTCCCCACACACACTATATTTACATGGCTTTACTCCAAGCGATTTCTCATTCAGATTGAGATCTGAAATAGGGATGAAGTTGTCTTCACACTGACAACCCACTTTCCCATCACAGATTCTCTCTACCACAGGACTTCTGGAAAAAAGAAGAAGCATATTCTTCATGATTTACTTATGATTTTATATTTATTAGAATATTTGAACTATATTTCTATGATTTATAGCAAAAAAGTAGGTTTTCTGCCTTATTTAAATGGCTTAAATTGAATAAATGGGATGCTGTGCAAGAGGACTTCAGCCTTGCTATTATCAAACAGTGACACTCATATACAGGGTTTATTAACGCTGTTCTTCATTTGAACTAGTTTTCAAATACTGAATGCCTTTGTCATACATAAGAAAGTAATTTGGTGTAAATTTTCTGAGAGGTCAAATTTGAAGCAGGGTTTTTTGTTTGTTTCTTTTTAAAATTTCATAGCATGACAGGTTTCTCATGTAAAACAGTGTTTTCTATTGAGTGTGACTCACGTTCGTTTTCTCCTCTGGTTTCTGTACAGATCTTCAATGTCATGGTTTTTCCAATTCTTTCCTAAAATACAGACCCAGAAAATTTATTCCAAAAGTAGTAGAAATTACAGAAACATCATTAGATTCTATTTCTATGATGAGCTGTGACCACACCCAGTTTATTTATCAGTGTCCTCCCTTCCCACATTATACACATTAGAACAACTTTGATGGGCAAGAAACACTTGTCCTCTAATTAACAAGGTGAAGAAAGTTGTCATCCATACCTAAGGAGGCCAGGTTCCTGAAGGTTTCCCACATCACATCTCTGTAGAGTTTCTTCTGTGGAGTATCCATTAAAGCCCACTCCTCCAGAGTGAAGTTCACAGCCACATCCTCAAAGGTTACTGAGTCCTAAAATAGTACAAATATGTGCACAGTACATGAGACTGACAGCACTGGACACCCAGACTTTATTTACAGGAAGGTTACATATAATTCTGTTGTCTCCATATATTTAGTCTATGACTTTTATCATCAAAATATTCTGTGTTCACATTTACTTCCGTATAAATTTAACCTTATCATAAACACATGAAAATTAATACTTCTTTACAGTGATCACATTACATCTTATTTTTCTCTAATGGCAGGGGTCAGAGCATGATGAGAAATGACAAATGCTATTCAAATAAAACAAATATTATAATTTTAAGACTTCCACCCTGAGGGCTTCCAGTCAAGATGGTGAAGTAGGTAAATGCTATACTTGCATCCTCCCACAAGCACATTAAAATTGCAACTATACTATAGAACAACCATCATTGAGAACCACCTAAAATTTGGCTGAAAAAAATTCCTATAACTAAGAATATAAAAAAGAAGCCACATTGAGACTGATAAGGGGTGGAAATACGCAATGAGCTGTTCTCTCACCCTTGTGTGGTGGTTAAAAATTAGGAGGGCTATATCAGCTACAGAAGTTCCCCCCTGAGGAGCAAGAGCTCCCAGCGCTGGGAAAAGAAGTTCCCATAACATCTGACTGTGAAAGCCAGTGGGGATGGAGGCTGAGTGAGACAGGGCTGCTGGAGTCCTAAATATTCCTCCTAAAGGTCCTGTGCATGCACTTACTCAAACTCACTTGATCTGAGTTCCACTGCTCAAAAGACACCAGGGCCCTGACCCGTTTGGCTCAGTCAATGGAGCATCAGCCTGCAGACTGAAAGATCCCAGATTCAATTCCAGTCAAGGGCATGTACCTTGGTTGCGGGCACATCCCAATAGGAGATGTGCAGGGGACAGCTAATCGATGTTTCTCTCTCATCGATGTTTCTAACTCTCCCTTCCTTTCTGTAAAAACTCAATAATATATATATATATATATTTTAAAAAGACACCAGGAGGGAAGAACTGAATTGTCTGGATTTAAGGCAAGAGCTAGAGGGGCAGCTTTTTCCCAGACAGAAATGCTGGAAGAAGCCATTGTTCCTTTGCTGAGCCTTTCCCCATAGAGCCTGTAGGTGGCCATACCTGAGTCTCCATCGACCTGGATAAACTGCCCTGGTGACTCTCTGAAACGTTGCCCCACTCATCTTGCAGGTCCAGCCAAACTGTTTCCAGTGAATTTTCCACACAAAAGCCTGTCTTGGATCATGCTACAGACTTTCCTAAAATCCTTCAAAGATTCACAACACCCGCCCCCCCGCCCCGCCACTACCACCAAAGCATCTGGCCTCAACGTGCCCCATACCTCTTGCTAAGTGGTCCCAGACCTGACACTAGCAGTAGACCACCACAGATTGCATCTTGGCCTCTCCTAGGCACCTCCAAGCCCAGCACAATAGCAGACATCTGCAGATCACTTTGTCGTTCATACCAAGTGGCCTTGGGCAGGGTACAGATGGCAGCTGATCTTAGCCTGCACTTCCAATGAGGCCACAGAGACAGCTTTATTATTTTTAATTTGTTTTTATTTTATTTTTTTGGTGGCCAGCTTTAGACTATGCCAGAGCACCATGCAACCACTTCCATGAGCGACATACTCAAGGGGCAGTCTGTGGTTGAGGCCAGATATTTTAGCCAATTGGCCTGAGGGTAAATCCTCCCATTGACATGCCAACCCCAACTGAGGCTAGACTACATCACCAGGGTGCACACAGCCCAAATAAGGGAACATCTGGAGTGCCCAGCTCAGGTAACTGGGAGACTGTTTCACTGGGATCTACAGGATACCCACTACATAAGCCCACTCCACCAAGATCGGGAGACACAAAAACAAACACAGGGAGGCAGCCAAAATGAGGAGAGAAAGAAACATGTTCCAAATGAAAGAATAGACAAAATTCCAGAAAAAGAACTCAATGAAATGGAGGCAAGCAATCTACCACATGCAGTATTCAAAACACTGGTCATAAAAATGCTCAATGAACATAGAGGAAGAGTAGATATACTTAAGTGAGAATTTCAACAAAGAGATAGAAAACAAAAATGGAGATAGACCGCAGTCAGAAATGCAGAATACATAAGGAATCAACAGTAGAGTAGATGAAGCTTCTTATTGCAGAGAAGCTAGAGGACAGATTTAGATCTGTTAATGAATATATCTTACATTTTATTTGAAATATGTCACTTGAAAATCTGAGTGTGTTTTGCCTCTTTCTAGAAATTATGGAACGTATTCATAAAATATCCATCTAAAGAACGTTAATTGATTGCTTTTAGTTGTCATTAAGAAAGATCAAGGTTTCTGAGTTAACAATTATAATTAAATTGGAAAGAAATTATATGGTTTGGTAGAAGATATAAAATATGAAATACTTATTGCTCTAAAGCTGGTTATTTCTGAATGGATAAGAAGGTTTGTAAAGAAAGATCTCGAGGGAAATATATAGGTAATGAATTTAATTAGGTAAATGAATCTATCAAAAGTAAGCTAATATAGAATTTGTTTTGTTCTTTTTCAGTCTGTTAAAAGGGAAAAAAGTTTTTCCTATATCTGCCTAGAGAGCAAAGATTCTACATACCATTAAATAATCATATGTCATATTGTGTTAATCAGGTACTTGATTTCTTAAAAACCTCTCTCTTTAATCCTAAGAAGTCAAATTTTGCTAGCCTGTGATTGTGTGTGATTCTTATTGTTGTTACTTGGGTAAATAATTTGTTTCATAATGACATATGATCTTTTGGCCAAGTATGTTTCACAACCTTCCCGGGTCTTAAATTTTTAAAAAATATTTTTTTATTGATTTGAGAGGTAGGGAGAGGGGAGAGAGAGATAGAAACATCAATAATGAGAGAGAATCATTGATTGGCTGCCTCCCGCACGTCCCCTACCGGGGATCGAGACCACAACTCAGGCATGTGCCGTTGACTGGAATTGAACCCGGAACCCTTCAGTCCTATGCTCTATCCACTGAGCCAAGCCAGCAAGGGCCTGAGTTTTAAATTTTAAGAGATTTTTTCTTGACTTAGAATTGGCTTTGAATCATTACAATGGGCTCCTGGAATATCTCAAGGATTTATTCTCTCTCCTTTCTAAAAAAGAAAGTTTAAACTAATTAGGCCTATTTGATATGTTTAAAGTATGTGGGCAGCTTTGTCAAATAAAGAAATAATAGCCCTGGCTGGATGGCAATTTTATTTTCTATGACAACTTTAGATAGAGAATCTAAAGGTTTTTGCAGATTGGCAAGCAAAGTAGCAGTTTTGTTGACTATAATTATCAATGTTTTAGATAAGTTATGTAAAACATGCTGGTGGGCCACCATTCCCCACCATGGCAGGAGGGTATAACCAAAGAAGTATGTTCATCCCCATCAAGAATGTATCCTGGAACATGTCAAGCTACTTGAATAAATAGCTTGAACAAGTTAGTGGCTGGTCTCATTTCCTGGATGGACTGATAAAGTAGTAACTAATGAAGAAATTATATGGTTTAAAGTAGTAACAAATCTAGCATATGCAGATTTGACTAGCACTAACCAATTCCTGTATTCTGACATTAAAGTTCCATATAGGAACTACCAAGGACACTGCCTGCACATCCACATCCCCTCCACCTGATCTCTTTTTTGGTATGAATAACTTCCTTGGTTAAACTCTCCTACCATGGTGGGAAGTGGTGGCCCACCAGCATCTTTTACATAACTTCTCTCTCTATATATAAAAGCCCTGCCTGCACTGAAATGCTAAGATGGTTTTGAAGGCATGAGCCTGCCATTTTCTCAGGTTGTCAACACCTGAATAAACCTCATTACTTCTCAATCAGAACCTGTCTCACAAGTTTGGCTTTCATGGCAGCAGGCAGCCAGAACTTCAGGTCATTTTCAAGGTTTTATGAAGAATGTTGCTCAGTGGTTGAGCATCAACCTGTACACCAAGAAGCCGCTGGTTTGATTCCTGGTCCGCTGGTTTGATTCCTGGTCAGGGCACACTGTGTGCTTGATCCCCAGTAGGGGGAGTGCAGAAAGCAGCCAATCAATGTTTCTATTAAAAAACATATTTTTTAAAAGGGGGACCCATGATATTAAAGATGTCTAAAAAAAAGAATAAAGAATAGAGACAGTGGTCATCTATGGGGCAGGACAGAGATGAGTTGAAGACGGGAACACTAGGAAACCCTCACCACTGCCCACAGGCCGTTCATAAATCTTGACGATTCCAAAGGTGTTCATATTGTTATTACTAAGTCTTACCCCAATACAGGTTGTACAGTCTTTTATTATTTTTGTAGGATATGTTTATTGATTTGAGAGAGAGAAAGAGAGAGAGGTTGTGAATAAACCCACAACCTAGGTATGTGCCCTGACCGAGAACCAAACCCGCAATCTTTTGGTGTACAGGATGACCCGCCAACCAACTGAGCCACTTGGCCAGGGCTGTGCAATCTTTTCTGAATATATTTGATGAAAAAAATTTAAGAAGTAACTAAGGTTGGAAAAGAACATAATTTATATGTTTGTCCTGTAATGTGGCAATCTGAGGCTTTATTCATGGTTCGGACAGAAAAACTGGTAACAAGCCAAGTGTCTTTAAAAAGAATGGGTTACATAAACTCATCATCATATATACTATTTCAAAACAAGGTTATTGATAATGAAAATATCTGGAGGATTTGCCAATAGAACAAATAACTGCAATATATATGCCATGTTACATTTCCTATAACCTGCAGAGAAAGATGAGACCCCCGGCCCCATCCAAGGTTTGGTTGATTGTGGAGACTAACACATGCCTAAAAGGATGAAGGGGTTTATGATTACATAACTGAGGCGGAGTCTTGTGGAAAGCAGGGCAGGCCTCACAAGCAGGTGCAAATTGCCTTGAGAGAGCAAGGAAAGGAGCCTGGCCTGTTTTTGTTGTTGTTGTTGTTTTAAATTAAATGTATTTTTATTGATTTCAGAGAGGAAGGGAGAGGGAGAGAGAGAAACATCAATGATGAGAAAGAATCATTGATTGGCTGCCTCCTGCACACCCCACACTGGGGCTCGAGCCCACAGCCTGGGCATGTGCCCTGACTGGGAATCAAACCATGACCTTCTGGTTCATAGGTGGACACTCAACCAGAGCCATGTCGGCTGGGCTGGCCTGGGGTTTTGATTGAGGTTAGGGGTGGGCTAGGGTGAGAGTTCATATACACAGACACAGAGGGGGCTTTTATGGGCTGGATCTCCTGCAGCACCAAAGGAGTGAGCAGCCAGGTTTTTATATCACCTTGTACAAATGTGGGACACACGGGGAAATGAAAGGGTTGTCAGCTGTCAAATAATAGAAAATATATCTCTTGGTCTCTGGACCAAGTTCCTGGCACAGAGCTCCTAAAACTTCTAAATTCCAAAAGGCACTAGGAGCACATTTTGTTCCAGTGAATAAACTCTGGTTGGGGATCTGAATAAGGGCTCTCACCAGAAAGATCAGACCATATTAGGGGTGTGGAATTCTCAGCCCCACTCCCATCCCGCAGAGAGGGCAGAGGGGTTAAAAATGGAGTTAATACCTGATCATACCTACACAAGGAAACCTCCATAAAATCCCAGTAAGGATGGGGTTCGGAGAGCCTCCAGTTTGGTGAGCACATCCATGTAGTGGGAGGATGAGGCACCCCAACAGACCTCACTCAGTCTTACTCTTCATCTGGCTATTGATCTGGATCCTTTATCATATCCTCTAATACAGCGGTCGACAACCTGTCGGACCTCACGGACCACCAGTGGCCCGTGGACCAACGGTTGGCGACTGCTGCTCTACTAGTAATAAACTGGTAAATGTAACTGTGTGTCTTTTTTCTGAATTCTATAAGCCACTCTAGCAAATTAATTGAACCCAAGCAGGAAGTTATGGGAACCTTTGATTTGGACAAAAGTTGAGAGAAAACTTGGGACATACTACCTGCATATTATCTGAAGTTGTTTGGGGGGTGGTGGTGGGGGGGGGATGTTTTATGGGACTGAGCCCTTAACCAGTGGGATCTGACCTTTTTCTGGGAAGATAGTGTAATTTGAGTTAAGGTGTAGGACACCCAGCTGGGATCACTGAGAATT